TCGACCACGCCGTGAGGTACGTTCAGGAGGCCCTGTACACAAGAAAAATCCAAGCCGGAACGTGCAGCAGCAGCGTCTTTTTGTTGTCTTCACAAAAAAAACGTTCCGGTCTCTCTGCCCGGTACCTCCATCTGTCCATAGTTTTTTGGCCGGAAAAAGACTGCTACTCTCTTAGCGATGCTCCAGAAGACGTTTTGTGAGCAGGGAGGGCGTTGCCTGCCTGGTTTCTCGTGAAAAAAAAAAGCATTCCGGGAAGAAGGCGGCGTAGGTCGCTCACCGCGAGGTCGAGCTTGTCGGACTTGCTGGCAAACTTGCTCTTCGCCTTGCTCTTCTTCGGCTTGGTCTTCTTCTTCGAGTCATCCCCGAGGCTCCTGGCCAGGGCCAGCATCATCGCCTCGTCCTCGTCGTCACTGTCACCGCCCGTTTGTCGAAGAGGCCCGCACACGCCCCTGTCGTCGCTAGAATCGCCCGAAGACGACGAGCCGCTGCAAGAAGAGCTGTCGCTGTCGCAAGCCGCTTCCCTGTCTCCATCGTCTTCCTTTCGCGCACCGCCACTCTTGTTGCTGCCAGGGCAGGCGCCCGCTGCTTTCGAAGCTGTTCACGTGGGACAAAAACACGACCGAAACAACAATCAAACTCAACCGCAGCAGCAACAGTCCCACCCGTGTTGACAACGGTTGTCCTACAGAACCACCTTCTTGCCACGAGCTTTTCCGTAAACACATTGCTTGGGTATCGACGCTCTTTTCGAGAACTGGGCTCAGAGGAATTTCTCTGACCGGCTCTTCCTTCCGCGTGGTGCCTGGTACGACCAAGACACGCTCTTGTTGTCGATATCGTCACCAAGGCCCCTGCCGGCGAGACTGTTCACATCACCTCCGCAACGTGCTGCTACAGAACGCGGTCACCACGCAATATCCTCTTATTTGGGCCGAGGCTCGTTCCTTACTTTGTGTATGAGGCCCTGTACCCCCAACGCGACAATTAAGGTTCTAGTGTAGGCTTCTTGACTGAGCACCTGTTCTTACGACCAAGTTACTTAAGGGACCCAAAAACTCCTACACTGCTCTGTTCACAAGCGGTGGCGCGTTCTGTTTAGCATTTGAAGCATGCACCGGTATACTCGTTCTGCACCTGCTTGCCTGCAATGACAATGTGGTTTAGCTGGATTCCATCGATTGGTTCACTTACGGTGGTCGCCAACGATGTCCTCGTTGCTTGAGCTGCTGTGCAAGCTCTCCATCGTCGTGGTGGTGCACCGCTCGAACAGCGTGACCTTGCGGGTCGAAGTGGCCATGCTGTTCTTCTCGCGTTCAGTTGGCTGAGAGACGGACCTCTGGAGCATCACAGGCCGCGACAACGCCAGCGTGTTGGCGGCAGGTGTGGCAGTCGCGTCAGCAGCAACAGCTGCAGGGTTCTTTTCATCCCCTGGTGTCTCCGACGTTGAGCTCTTGGGCTCGGCTGTCGTTGGGCCTTCAGCAGCAGCAGCAGCAGCAGCAGCAGCTGCAGCAGCAGCAGGAGCCTTGACGGGCTTCTTCGTGGTGACCAGGGTGCGGTGTAGTCACCTGCTGCGTAACCTGCCTCGACAAACAAGGAAAACAAGGAAAAACGATCGGGTACAGTACCCAATACTACGACATGTCTGCTGTTGGACCGCGGAATTCCACCTGTCGAACAGAGTGTACCAAGGTCAACAGCCATTGTTCGTGGTTGGATGGATCTTGTCCATATTTGACTCTCCCTGCAATGACCCACAGGAATCTTCCAGAACCAACCCCCCGGGTCTCGTTGTTCTTTCTGCGAAAAGTAGCGACTTCCGTATGTCCTAGCGGGATCTCTTTCTGCGGCACACTCGACTCATGGAAACAGCAAAAGCACGTGGCATACGCTTCCCCGCATAGTTGAAGGAAACGAGACGAGAGTGGGAACTCGCCTTGACCGTGGTCTTGGTTCCCCGCTTCTTCCGCTTGGAACGCTCCCTGGACTTCACGATGGGAGAAGCGGCATCTACGTCTTCCATGACGAAAATCACGTTCTCGAAACCCAAGGTGACCGGGAGCTCTTCGCCCACGACGGCAAACCTTTGGTCGAACACGATGTCCATCAGCTCCTGCAATACGCGAAACAGCGAATGAGCCCCCGATGAATCGATCATGCGGAGTGAAAAAACAGACGCAGGGAAAACACTCAGGGGAGGGGGTGGGGGACGTAGTCATGTGT